AACAGGTGACCTCAAAATAGAGAAAGTGCTCTAGGAAGGTATCACTTAGTGAACAATGACACGCTGTCTCCTCAAATCCCATTCCCTGCTCTCTCCCCATCGTGTCTTTGCTGGTGCTCGCTCCACCACTGGAGCTCTCTACTCTAATCCCATTCCCTGCTCTCTTCTCATTGTGTCTCTGTTGGTGCTTGCTCCCCCACTGGAATTCTCTACTTCTCTGTGTTATCTTCATACTTTTGACATCTTTCAATCAAGTGTGTCTCTGATTTTCTTTGACATGAAGTGTTGAGCTCCACTGTAATCTGACACATCCCAAACACCATTTGTATGAAGTGAAATTCATAATCCTTGCATTTGATATGGAGCCTCATCACATCTTTGAGACATTTCAAATCTTCACAGAATATACTGTAAAGTGATCTGACTATATTTTGTGGGCAAAACACAGCAGCCAATTGCGCACAGCAATATCCCACAAACAGTCGTGGATTGAGTGATTATTATTTTTTAAAATTTAGTTTTGAAGAGATTATTACCTGCATCAGTAAATCTCTCCAAATCATTAAGTCAGGTTATATCAATCGGAAACCCCACAATACACTGACTTTGATTGTCTGAACCAAACCTCCACCTCTTGGCTACATCACATACCCTGTACTTTGCACCTTCTCTGCCGTTGTCACTCACTCTCTCTGTCAGTCATTGTCACTTTGTGTCTCTGTCCACTTCTGAGCCGAATTCAGCGAAAAATATCACTCTGTATGTGTGTGTCTCTGCTACTGTCTCTATCACTGCAGAGGGGATAAGGGGTGGGTGGGCAAGAGGGGTAGACTAGGGAATGGGAACTTCTAGTAAGTAATACAGATGAATGAATGTTTCACCTGATGCCTCTTTTTGGATATTGATGCACATAAATTGACTGCCATGTCTCCCTTCAGAAGCATAGTCACTGCATCTTATTAATAGAATTGCAGATGCTGTGTTGCTGTGGAGGGAACGTTTTGACACACCCACTGTCAGGTCAGTGATCGTCGTTACAACTGCTCACAACTAATGTACATCTGTTTCAACAACCTATTCTGCATTAATGGATTTAATAATAATAATAATAATCCTTGCATATGGTTCGTGGGTCACTGCTGTGTGCAATTGGCTGCTGCGTTTCACCCACAAAATATACAGTTAATTCATTTAACAGTTTGTTCCGTCAAGCACTTTTAAGACGTCTCAAAGACATGATAAGGCGCTATACCAAATGCAAGGATTATTTTATAATAATATGCGTTACAACACAGTCTATTTGCCAAGGTCCCTTGCATGATGACCTGGATTAGGCAGCCGGTATTGAACTTGTTATTGGACTTGGACCCTGAGAACATCAACGTGGCTGTCATGTTGCAAGCTGTTCATAAAGATCTTCCCATCACATTGAAGGCAGATGCCCGCCATAAATCCAATGAGGAAATTCTGAGATTTGGGGTCACAGCTACTGGAAGGTGTTACCTGGAGTCCAAGTTTGTGAACATGCATTTGTACATCCAGCGCTTGTAATCCACCTTGCTTGGCTTGCAGAGAGGCAAGCAGCTGCTGCTTAAATTCCGCACCTCCAATTGGTGGAACCATCGCTCAATGGGAAAGGACATTTGTCCGTGTTGTGGGCAGGAAAATCGTAGCAATGCTCTCGCACATTTCATACTGAGCTGTGTTGCTCCAACGTACCATCCAACTAGTGAAGGCTCAAACTCTTGTCGGATGTCAAATCACCTCCTATAGTAATTATCCTCCTTGGGGAGTTAGGTAAGTGGAGTTTCCTTGGAGCTGAATTGGCTCCAGGTTTACCAACAGAGTATCAGAATTGAGCCCACTCTGTGTTGCAGTCTCGGGCGGTCTGGTTCCTTACCCAGACAGATCCGTTGTACTCCAGGACATTGTTGATATCCTGCTCATCAGCAGGACTTGAGCAGCAGACTGGGCAGATTTGCCCCTATACAATCTGGAGTTAATAAGCAGGATGTGTACCTACAGGGAGAGTGTGTGAATTTCATTCTAATAAAAATCTCTAGAATTTCCGTGTTAAGGTGGGATGCATGGAACTCTGTTTAGTTTGGATACTCTTAATCATGGTGATGGGTTTCCTCAAGTGCCAGACACCTGACTGACCAAAAAAAGTGACTGAGCCATGGCACACCTAAAAGACCATTGTCAAATTCATTTTAGGGCAATCAAATTTTGTATTTCATGAGACAAATTGATAAGTCAGCCTGGTACAATCATTCACTCTTTTGTCTCAGAGTCAGAGGGTTGAGGGTTTGGGACTCTGATCTCACAGTCCAGGCTGATACCTGGTGAGCTCTGCAATGTAGAGAAACCATCCTTCGATTGAGACAAATAAACAGATCCCGTCTAAGCTGGTTCAGGTGGACGTTAAGTGATGGTGTCTAACTCCACTACTATGAAGTCTCTGTGATGGTTTCCTACATGAAAGCTGCTGTGTAAATGCACGTGTAAGCAACACTATTTTAAACAGAGAAGGGAGATGCTCCAGGAGTCCTGGCTGACAATCGTCCAGATCTAATTGTTCATTCATTTCACGGCTGTTTGTGGATCTTGCTGTGTGTACTTTGCCTGTTGCGTTTGCTTATAAACACTATACTTACTGTAAATTACTGGAAAGTGTTTTTGACATGATAACATGCAACAAAAATGTATATTCTTTCTCTTCCCTTTGTGCAGTTTGTACTGAATGTGGGACAGTGTGAGAGAGTGTGAGTGTCACTTAAACCAAGAGTCTCACTGGGATTAACCCTGGAGCCTGCAGACATCAGCTCCCTTTAACACTGACCAAGCCAGTGTGAGAGGACCTTACAGACCTTATACAGACTGTACAGCACGCAATCAGGCCACTTGAACCAACCAGTCTGCTGTGGTGTCTATGCTCCCCCGAGACTTCACCAACTCCTTATTCCCTCCCAAACCTTCTTATTCACACGAGGCTCACATACACGAAGATTGGGCCTGTGTTCCATATTCAATATGTTCCTGTATGGTGAACCTTTCCTATCTTTAATAAAAAGGAAAGAGATCACTCTCGAAGCAACAAATGTCTCAAATGGAAAATACATATATTTTAATCCAATTTTACATTGTCGATTGATGTATCTGTCAAGCAAATGACACGAGTGTGGCTGAGATATGGCTGTTACTGTGTCAATAACAGACACAAAGAACTGTAGGCAGGGCTTTATCCAAGATGTCCTCAGCTCCCAGGCTGACTAGAAGATGATGACAGCAGCAATCTGCCTCTTTCAAGGGTAATAATAACCTTACATCTGACATAGCACTTTCATGTCCAGAGCTTATCTCAAAGCACTTCAACGAAAAAATTGTAAGGTGTAGTAACCTGCATTAGTATTAATGGATTGAAAACAGGGCTTTAAACTGTAACCCTGTAGCGTGTGGGTCAGTGTAATACAGTGGGTGTCACTGTCTGTGAATTGTCTGGGGTCAGCTTATACAGTAGATGTCACTGTTTGCTGGGGCTCCCCACTCATGAGAGAATGAAAAGATTTAATACAAAATTGCAGACCCACCAGCCAATGCCATTTGGAACAGATGTTAAACTGAGATCTGCCTGGGCGAACATGGACAATCGTGTAAGTGTTAAAATTCTCTATGGTCAAGGAACGATTTTTTTTTTGGTCAACCGGATGACTGACACATGTGGAAACCCATCACCATGTTTAATAGTATCCAAATTAAGCTGAGATTTCCATGCATTCCACCTACACAAGGAAATCCCAGAGATAGATTGTTAGACCGGAATGCGCACTCGATCCCTGGAGAGACACATCCTGCTTACCTAATTCCAAAAAGTATTAGGCGCAGGTTGGCAAGAGCCAAGGTTTGGGGTCCCCAGAGTGTGCATTGGGGTAACTGCTGGAGTCTAACCAGCTAAAAGCTGGGCCTGAATTTAAGGGGTGTAGGGGACAAGATGGAGAAATTGGGTTAGCTGAGATATCGTCTTGAGGTAATGATATGGTTACAGACTGACATCCCTCCTGTGTTCCTAACACCGAGCAGATTGTGGTGATCATGCAGTCAGACACCCAACTCAGGCAAACACACCATGGGTGGAATAAACATGATGGAGGTACAGGTGCACACCTTCTGCCATGGCTAGTGATGTGTCTCCTTTAAGCACCCCCACAGCCAGGCACAGACTCCAAGAAAATTTCTGATTCCCAAAGGCCAGCTGTGTATGTTTTAATTACAAAAGAAAATTTGCTTTGAGTTGCAAGAACTTGGAAAATAATTACTAGGAAGCCAAGCTGGCGACTGGAACACCAGCCCGAGCTGGGAGAGTCATCACCACTGCTCCTCCAGTCTGTACTGAGTGAGTACCTGAGAGTAATGCCTCCCCCCCACACACACATACATACAGAAAGACATACACACACTCCAGCCCAGGGCTGGGAGAGTGATGCATTGTCAAATGTGCCGTCCTTCAGATGAGACATTAAATCGAGGGTTCCTGTCTATTCTGATTAAAGATCCCATGGCACTATGCAAAAAGAGAAAGGAGTTTCTCTCGGCTGACAATCCCCAAGAAAGAAAAATTGGTCATTCATGTCATGGCTGTTTGTGAAATACTGCTGTCAATACACCATGACTATGCTGTAAATACAGAAACAATTATGTCACTACTGTTTATACAGAGAGGAATCAGTGCGTCTGCAGTAAATACAGAGATGTATGTGCGTGTGTGACTGTATTTACAGTGCCAATACAGACACTGCCCAGTGGCCTGTGTCACTGTGTCTGTTATAAACAAGTCAGGAATCATTGTCTGTTGCAAATACAGTCTGGACCTCGGACCTTCTCTCCCTCTGGCCTTTCACCCGTAGCGATCCTGATGCAGCCGTCAAGCTGCTAAACGATCACCTCTCCTCCACCTTTAATTCCCTCGTTCCACTGAAATCTAGGACTATCTCTAACCCTACCTGCTCCGCCTGGTACAACAGTCATGTCTGGTCTCTCAAATCCCAAACTTGGTTGCTTGAGCGTAGATGGCACAAAACCGTCCTCATGGTTCACCGGCAACTCTGGCTTGAGCATCTTCACACCCACCACTGATCCCTCTCACAAGCCCAAACTGCGTTCTATTCACAGGTCATCCTTAAGGCCAAAAATAACTCCAAAATCCTGTTCTCCACGCCCCCTCTTAAGCACCCTCAATTCTCATTTTAGATGCCAAGTGCAAAGAGGTCCTGGACTTCTTTATCTCCCAGGTAGACAACATCTTCCTGACTGCCTCCTCCTCCTACCACTCCCCATTCCTCCTTCATCACCCTTTCCTCCTACCATTGCCCACACACTACACTCCTTTGCCCCCATCTCTCCCTCCTCCTTTTCCCCCGCCATCACCTAGATGAAGCCCTCCACCTGCTGCCTCAAATTGCTCCTCAACCAGCTTCTGGTCACTTAACGCCTGACAATCAACCAGTCTCTCTCTTCAGGCTCTGTCCCACTCCTCCTCAAAACCGCTGTCATCACTCCTGAAAAAAAAATTCTACCCTCGAACCCTCCGACCTGATAAACTTCAGACCCATCTCAAACCTGCCCTTCCTGACCAAAGTTTTGGAACGTGTCAATGCAACTCAACTTCGCTCATACCTCTCCCTCGATTCCCTACTCGAATCGCTCCAGTCCGGTTTTACAGCCCATAGCATAGAGACACCATTCGTCAAAGTAACAAATGACATAGTCGTCGATCACACCATCCTCCTCCATGGCCTCTACTCCCTCATCATGATTAGAGGGATCGCACTTGCATGGTTCGAGTCCTACTTAACTAATCGCCAATAGTACATCTTGGCAAATGGTTTCTCCTCCCGCCCCTACCTGGTCACCTGTAGGGTACCCCAAGGCTCTATCGTTGGTCATTTCCTTCCATATCCACATGCTCCCTCTCAGTGATGTCATCCACCGACATGGGGTCAACTTCACATGTTTCGGATGACACCCATATCTACTTCGCCCCTCCAGCTGTGACTCCCAGTCCGCTGTTGTCCTGTCAACTTGTTTGACGGACAAGGCCTGGATGAGCACAAATTTCCTGCAGTTGAATGTCGGCAAGATGGAAGCCAAACTCTTTGGCTCCGGTCAATCATCCCTCCTGTGGGTCTGAATTCCTCCACCTCCATAGGCTCTCCCGCGGACTCACCGAACCCGTGCGCAACTTAATAAGAATAATAATAATCCTTGCATTTGATATAGCGCTTTTCACGTCTTCTAGACATCTCAAAGCGCTTCACAGAATAGACTGTAAAGTGAATTGACTGTACATTTGTGGGCGAAATGCGGCAGCCAATTGCGCACAGCAATGTCCCACAAACTGTCGTGGATTGAAATGACCAATTTTTTTTTTTTTGAGGGATTATTATTAGGCTCTGTGTGGAGTAAGGAAACTTGCCCAAGGTTTCGTCCTGCCGGGAATTGAACCCAGGTCTCTCGCTTGCAAAGCAAGTGCTCTAACCACTGAGCTACAGGACTCCACTTAGGCATCAGGTTTGATCCCTAGCTTTCCTTTCTACCCCAGGACCTGTGTGACTGTGTGTGTGTGTGCGTGTGTCTCTTTGTGTGGGTGTATGCGTCTGTGTGGGTGTATGTGTCTGTGTGTGTGTGACAGTGTCTGTGTGTGTAACTGTGTGTCTGTGTATGTGACTGTGTGTGATTGTGTGTGCAACTGTAACTGTCTGTGTGACTGTGTCTGTGTGACTGTGTGTGCGTGACTGTCTGTGTGTGTGACTGTCTGTCTGTGTGTGACTGTGTGTGACTGATTGTGTGAGCGTGACAATGTCTGTGTGTGTGACTGTCTGTGTGTGACAGTTTCTGAGTGTCTATGTGTGTGACTGTGTGTGTTTGTGAAGGTGTGTGTGTAACTGTATGTGTGTGATTGTGACTGTGTGACTGTGTGTGTGACAGTGTCTGTGTGTGACTGTGTGTTTGTGCGACTGTGTGTGACTGTCTGTATGACTGTGTCTGCGTGTGTGACAGTGTCTGTGTTTCTGAGTGTCTGTATGTGTGTCAATGTCTGTGTGTGTATGACAGTGCCTGTGTGTGACTGTGTCTGCGTATGTGTGTCTGTGACTGTGTGTGTTTGTGAAGGTGTGTGTGTGAGACTGTGACTGTGTGTGTGTGACTGTGTGTGTGTGAGACAGTGTCTGTGTGTGATGGTGTCTGCGTCTGTGTGACTGTGTCTGTACGTGAGACGGTATCTGTATATGTGTGACTGTCTGTATGTGTGACTGTGTCTGTGTATATATGTGTGACTGTGTCTGTATGTGTAACTGTGTCTGTATGTGTGACTGTATGTGTGTGACTGTGTTCGTGTGTTTGACTGTGTATGTGCGACTATGTCTGTGTGACTGAGTGTGCCTGTTTGTGACTGTCTGTGTGTGACTGTGCATGTGCTTGACTGCGCGTGTCTGTCTGTGATTGTGCATGTGTGAATGTCTGTGCGTGAGTGTCTGTGTGTGACAGTGTGTGTGTGACTGTGTCTGTGTGACAGTGTGTGTGTGACTGTGTCTGTGTGTGTGTGACAGTGTGTGTGTGACTGTGTCTGTGTGTGTGTGTGACTGTGTCTGTGTGTCATTGTGTCTGTATGTATGACTGTGTCTATGTGTATGACTGTGTGATTGTGTCTGTGTGTGACTCTGTGTGTCTGTGGGTGTGCGTGTGTTACTGGGTCTGTGTGTGACTTTGTCTGTGTGTGCTTGACTGTGTCTGCGTGTGTGTGTGATTGTGTCTGTATGTATCACTGTGTCTGTGTGTATGACTGTGTCTGTGTGTGACTCTGTGTGTCTGTGTGTGTGCCGGTGTATGTATGTGTTACTGGGTCTGTGTGTGACTGTATCTGTGACTGTGTTTGTGTGTGTGACTCTGTGTGTGTGTGAGACTGTGTCTGTGTGCGACTGTGTGTGTGACTTTGTCTATATGTGTGACTTTGTCTATGTGTGTGACTGTGTCGGTGTGTGTGACTGTGTGTGTGTGTGTGACTGTGTGTGTGAGTGTCTGTGTATGTGACTGTGTATGAGACGGTGTGTGTGATGGTGTATGTGTGTGACTGTGTGTGTGACTGTGTCTGTATATTTGTCTGTGTGTGCGTGACTGTGTGTGTGTGTGTGTTACTGTGTCTGTCTGTGTGTGTGTGTGACTGTCTGTGTGACTGTGTATGTTACGGTGTGTGTGACTATGTCTGTGTGTGTGACTGTGTGTGTGACTGTGTGTGTGACTGTTTGTGTGTGTGAGTGTCTGTGTATGTGACTGTGTGTGTGACTGTGTGTGTGACTGTGTCTGTGAAACGGTGTATGTGACGGTGTATGTGTGTGTGTGTGTGTGTGTGACGCTGTCTGTGTGTGGGTGACTGTATCTATGTGTGTGTGAGACGGTGTCTATGTATGTCTGACTGTGTCTGTCTATCTGTGTGACTGTGTGTGATTGTATGGGTCTGACTGTGTGCGTGACTGTGACTGTGCGCGCGCATGATTGTGACTGCGTGTGCATGTGACTGTGCGTGTGCCTGTGTACGTGCGCGTTACTGTGTGCACGAGCACATGTGCGACTGTGTGCACCCGTGTGACTGTGTGCACGGGATCATGTGCGCGGGGCCGTGCACGACCGTGTGTGTGTGTGTTTCTGTCTGTCTGTCTGTGTGTGTGTTCCTGTCTGTCTGTGTGTGTGTGTGTGTATCTCTGTGGCTCTGTGTCTGTCGCTGTGTCCACGTCTGTGTGTGTCTGCGCGTTTGCATGCCTGCACTTGTGCCCGTGTGTGTGGCAGTGGTTGTGTCTGTACTGTGGCCGTGTCTGTCTGTGTGTGTGTCGCGTAGGTCTACATGTGCAGGTCTATGTGTCTGTGCATGTCTGTGCAGGTCTATGTACCTGAAGATGCCGAGAGGGACTCCCAAAATTATAATAAACCTGAGCCCCCATCAAATGTAATCCAGCCCTGCTCACAGTTGTAAACACAGACAGGAATTAATGCATCCCAGCAGTAAATACAGAGGAGTCACTGTGACACTCCTATATACACACTAAGGAATCACTGTGTCACTCCTATATACACAATCAGGAATCACTGTGTCACTCCTATATACACACTAAGGAATCACTGTGTCACTCCTATATACACAATCAGGAATCACTGTGTCACTCCTATATACACACTAAGGAATCACTGTGTCACTCCTATATACACAATCAGGAATCACTGTGTCACTCCTATATACACACTAAGGAATCACTGTGTCACTCCTATATACACAATCAGGAATCACTGTGTCACTCCTATATACACACTAAGGAATCACTGTGTCACTCCTATATACACACTAAGGAATCACTGTGACACTCCTATATACGCACTAAGGAATCACTGTGTCACTCCTATATACACACTAAGGAATCACTGTGTGACTCCTATATACACAATCAGGAATCACTGTGTGACTCCTATATACACACTAAGGAATCACTGTGACACTCCTAAACACATAAATAGGAATCACGGTGTCACTGCTGTCATTCCTGATAGGATTCATAGAATCATAGAATATCACAGCACAGAAGGAAGCCATTTGGCCCATCGTGCCCATGCCGGCTCTTTGGAAGAGCTGTCCAATCAGTCCCACTCCACCACTTTTACCCCATACGCTTGCAAATTTTTCCTTTTCAAGTACCTCTCCGATTCCCTTTTGAAAGTTGTTACTGAACCTGCTTCACCATCCTTTCACGCATTGCATTCCAGACCGTAACAATTTTCTGTGTTGTAATAAAAAGACATTTCTCCTCATCTCCCTTCTGGTTCTTTGCTAATTATCTTAAATCTATGTCCCCTGGTTACCAACCCACCTGCCAGTGGAAACAGTTTCTCCCTGTCTACTCTATCAAAACCCTTCATAATTTTGAACACCTCTATTAATCTCCCCATAACCCTCTCTGCTCTAAGGAGAACAATCCCAGATAGAATATGTCTTTGCTGTAAATATGAACAGGAATCAACGTGACTGCTTCACATACAGACAGGAATCAGTGTGTAAATTCTGCAAATAGAGTCAG